CGAAAATAGGGTTAATTTGAAATTTAAAAACAAAAACAGATCGAAATAATCGATTAAATGGAGTTTTAATCGATTAAAACAGAGCCAAATACGCAGAACCCAATCCTCTCGGTTTAATCGATTATTTGGTGAAATAATCGATTATTTGACCTTTTAATCGATTATTTTGATGTTTTAATCGATTAAAACAGTGAGTATATGCTTGAAAATGGTTTTCTCACTTGTTTTAATCGATTATTTCCTATATAATCGATTAAAGCCGAGCCTGCATGATAAATTTGAGCATTTTGAAGCTTCTAAGTTACGGACTATGTACCAGCTATCTTAGACTCTATAATTACGGACTCAATCAAACTAAAACAGAGTTATTACAATACGGAAAACATCAATCTTCAATCTTCAATACTCTAAGTCTTTAAGCTCTTGGATCATCATCAAAATCAACATTCTTCATGATCATTATTTGCAACATCAAGTCCTTGAATGTTCAACAATTAGTCCCAATATTTATTTATTTATTTAAACTTTATTCTCCTTTTCATTCTTTCAAATTATTATCTTTTATAGTCTTTTACTTTTTCTTTTCTTCTCCCCTCTCTTTAGAGAATAACCATTACCTTTACGACTTTATTAATAAATTATTTTTCATTTTGAGTGGTATATCTCTTTTACTACATTTTTTATATTTATACAGTTTAATTTTAAAAATTTATTCAAATAGATGAAATTCAGTATCTCTAAGATGAACATCATTTTTCACACATACCATGTTTCTCATTATCTCTATCTAATATTCTCTTAAAACATAATATTTAATTGAACTCTCTTTTTTATATTTTATTACTTAATTTATATTATTTTACCAATTTTATTACCTTTCTTCTAATTTTATAATCACATTTTTATACAACAAAATTATCTATATATTTTTATATTTAATATTATATTTTTTCTTGTCTTATTTTATCATTCAATATCATGTTTTAAGCGTGTTAAATTATGCCAATCCAGTTTATATGGGTTGGTTTATCACAAATTATATTAAAATAGATCACCTTAATTTTTGGTGAACAATGATGAATAAAAAATGCTACGACTTATCTATCACGTGATCGATTAAATGAATTAATCCACTTAAATATATGTTATTTTTTAATTTTTCTTTTCTTTTCAAAATATTAAAATAAGTAGATTGACTCAATAAAAAAATATTCATAAATTTACATTAAACATATAAATAGAAAAAATTTAAATATTAAAGATTAAAAAAATAATTAATCCATGACCAATCCAACTTGAATCATGGATAAAATAAGTTGAGTCTCCTTAAATAAACTATTAAAAAATGTTTAATTTTGAACAATATTAACAACTAAAAAGATATTTTCATGGTGTATTTTCTTTTTTTTTTTCAACATAGATGACGCTAACAACTTGTACGGTTTGCATAGTAAAGAGAATTGTGATAATATCAATTTTTTTTATGTTTTGTTTGTTTTTATTGTAAAAGCAAATGTGAGTGAGTATTTGTAGTTAAATCACCGTGTATGTATCAATAAATCACCACGCAATGGGAAGTCCTTACAAAGTAGCTAAGAATAATGCGTGTATTGAAAGAAAAAATAGAATAAATGACATAAATAATCTCATACAAACATTGACCTAAATGTTTGATGTAAAGAGTTTCTTTACGTGCAATTGTATCACCAATTATATTACATTTAAGATGATAATTAAGTTTGCGTTACAGTTGTGAATGGTGCATGGTGTTCATATTACCCTCCCTCAACAACTTCTTGATTTGTCTTATATGCTCCATTTTAGAGATTCCATTGCATTGTACTCACATGTCTTTAATAAAACTATCTATCTTTGCTTAAGACATAAATATCACAATATACTCACATGAACTCAATTTGATACTTTTAAGTTGTCATGCACATTAAACTTTTTCAATTATTTATTGAGTCACATAATCTACCCATGAAGTGTTTGTAATTTATAACTACAACAATTAGCAGAGGGCTTGTCGTGCATTCACTCATATTGTATAAGAACGTATGATTGTATGATTGTAATTAAGAGCTAGTCTTTGCTCCATCAAACTATGTCTAGTCTCATAAGTGAAACCATGACTTTTCTTATCCATAATTGCTTAAGATTTCATTCATTTCAGACATCAAATTACATGTTATATAAGGTTGCATAAGTTGAAATTTGTTCATTTGTTGTTGAAGTGTGATTGATTTCTTGTTGGCGTCCATAATTAATTATGACTTATGACAATCGATTATGCATGATGACATAATCGATTATGTTGACCTGCATAATTGATTATGGTTGAAGACATAATCGATTATGCCGCTGATCTGTGCTTAATGTATAATTAATTGTATAATCCTTATGTAACATAAATTTAACATGCTTGGTTAAATACTTAGGAATTACAACTTTGTAGAGATTGGTAGCAATTTTGTACTAAGTTTTTATTTTTTACAATAAAAAAAATATGAGAGTCAAAACAAGAGTAGTAAAAATAATTAATTAAAGTATAATTGATTGTCCAAATAGTACCTAAACAAAAGCTATATAAAATGTGCTTAATTTAGATGTAGGAATAAATTTTATTTTGCTATTTTGTAAATTGTCTATATTAGGACATTAAAATTTTAAATACATAAAACATGAGACATAATTTTTTTTAGTAATAATAATTAATTACAATATAAATATTTGTCAAATTAGTGATTATTTTAGATTTAGGAATACTTTTTTTTGCTATTTTATAAATTGTCTATATTAGAACATTAAATTTTAATAAAAATATTATTATTATCATCATCTATAATATGATATAATTAATTAAAATAAAATATTTTTGTGCACGTAAGTAAAATATTTCAAGAATTTGTATTATATCCTTATCGTGGTCAAAACCTAAGAGAAAAAAATATAGGTCACAAAGTATGGGAAAAAAAGACAATATAGAAGTGTGCACCAATCCTTCCTATTAAGTTGCCTACTTTTCATATTTTATTAGACCACGGTCGTTACTTTAGTAACGAACATTAGAGGAAAAAAATATTAAACAGATTATGTCCACATGCTACTAATATGTACTCATTATACAAGAAACACATTATCATCTAGAAAAACTCATTATTTTACATTAGATATATGACAAATATTATGTGAGCTTAACCTTTTGGGACGATCACCTTCAACTACTGTGCTATAAGTTTATTTACTATGAGAAGATTATTTTTAACCTTCTACCATAGTTAAAACTAAATTAGTTAATGAAGCACCGTGTAGCCCATCTTAATTGTCATAAGACTTGTTCAATAATTATATTATAATTACTTTTATTTTTTAGATAAATGTAACAAAATACTCATCAACATGTAATATTTTTATATAAATAGTTATAATTAATATTTCAATCAAATTAAAATATTATTCTATTTAATATTATTACAAACTAGACAATATATTTTATTTTAATATTATTTAATTATTATATTTAATATAAAATAAATTTTTAAAAAAATATATACTCATTCAAAATATTAAAAATTTCAATATATATATATATATATATATATATTAAACTACAACAACAAAAATTATATTTAATATATAAAATCATTTTAATTATATTTAATATATAAAATAATATTAATATATTTAAATATTATATAAAATATAAATTAATTAACATTTTTATATTTAATTATGTCTTAATTTATATATTATAATAATAAAAATATTTTAATAATTATACTAATAAAATATTATTATTTAATTTTTTTATATTCAATTTCTTTGTACAAACTATAATAAATCCTTCATATCTATTATCTTAATCCCTTCAAATTTATATATTTTTCTTTATCCAATCGTTAACTCCTTTCATATCCTCGATCCAATCAATCTGCAGTCCAATCCACGATTTCCCACCCCAATCCAAAACCCTTAAGTATTTTGCATGGATCCCATGTGTGCCCATTTGCTGACCAATGGCGATGAATTGGAGCAGCCTTTAGTTGCTTCGTGATTACTTACTATTTCCAAATTTAACACAATGTTTTGGTAGCGGATACTTACCAATCCCACCAACCCCACAGATAAAAATAGTTTGATAAGGTTAAATTTTGAAACTAAAAAATAAATTCAAAATATCTTTTATGGCAATGTTCCATGTCACTTGATGGCTCTAGCATATGATGCATAAATACACTAAATAAATACACACCATTACATCGTATTATTTATTTTAATAATAAATATAATGTAAATAAAAAATAATACTTAGCATAATTTTATTTTCGTAAACTTCTTTCTTCCGTACTACTTTTTTTCGGATTAAAAAATTCGGAAACATCTTTATCATACTCCAAGCAAAATAAATAGTTTATCCAAGTTTGAAACTTGCGAAGGAGTATGTTTTGTATATTATTCGGATAACACAAATATGGTCAAAATTAATAATTTACTTAATAAAAGTAGCTTACAAGAAGGATCTGAGAAAATCCTAAAAAAGCAGAATCATCCATTCACTTGATCACTATTCACTGTGTTTCACAAAATACCACCAACTATTCACTTCATCACTGCACACTGATCATATACAACATAAACCAAATCCACACTCTTTCCTCTTATGCTAGTTCATTGTTTAGTTTTACAACCCTAAATTTTATTTAAATTTTTCTATGAGAAAACCCCAGGATATGTTACATGTTACATAACAGCTTCAAGACTCATTCGCTACTCCAAACCTTATAAATTTTAAACATTTCACCCCACCTTCAGATCCACCCTTCCGTTTAAAAAAATCACGGTTGGGCAGAACTTAAAACGGGAGATGCGTAACGGTAACGGAGAGAAGATTCTAGGTAATTAAAAGGTGTGTGAGGAGAGAGAGAGAGAGCGAGGAATATGGATAATTAGTTGGTCCAACCCGATCCGAATACCCGAAACTGCAACCAGACTCATTTTCACTCGAGCCGGAGCAGACGCCTCAGATCTCGTGTGGCGGAGTCATCAATCGCTGCCGAGGAATTCTTCTTAGTCGGAAACGACGGCATCGGAAGCGCGTTCGGCGACGGTGACACCGCGAACGCCGATCCGGCATACATGTCGCTCTTCACGGCTGAATCAAGCGACTGGCCCCTCCGGAGAATCGTAACCTTCTCCAACCCGTGGCTCCTGGCCACCCTCGAATCATCACCAGCAGATCTCCTGGCGGCCTCTGCTGCCACTGGCAGGGCAGAGGCGGGGACAACGCGTTTCCTCTGGTCTGGTCGGGCAACCGGCTTCCGGCAGGACCTGGAAGCGGCGATATGGTTGTTGTAGTAATAATAATTACAGTTATTAGCGGAACTCCTCCGGCGGGAAAAGTCCGACGGTGGAGCCCTGATTCGTTCCACCAGGCAGTCCTGAGGCCGCAAAATCTGGATTGCCATGGCAAAAAATTAAAACAAATTTAAAATTAAAATGAAAAGTAGTTACACCGCCTGAGAAGTAAATAAAAGAGGATGAAAGGAGGAAGGAGGTTGGTTTTTTTTTTTTTGAGAGAGAGAGAGAGAGAGAGAGAGAGAGAGAGAGAGAGAGAGATTGAAGCGTGTGTTGGCGGAAGTGGTTCTGTAGAATGGCTAGGTGGAGGGGTTGATATATAGCAGATGTAGAAGGAGACAAGGGTGGGGTTTGAGGTAGGGATGGGTTGCCACCGACCTTGCAATAAACCAAATGACGCGTCACGAATGAAAGGAAGAGAGAGAGAGAGAGACGTTTAAGACCACCTCGTCTGACTCAACAAAGGACAGGCGTTGTTGGCTGACCAGACTAAGTCATGGTTAACGCTCGCTGTTACTCTTTCCTACCGGAGCTACCTCTTTCACCTTACCTAAGCAAACGTCGTCAGGTTACTTGTCCTCTTCCTCGGTACTAATTATTTAATTCGCTGGGCCCCACGTTCTGTAGCCTTTTAATAATGCAAAAAAAATCCTTTTTCACACTTATTATTATTCCTCAATTTATTTACTGAAAGGAAAAGGAAAAAAACTGGACCTTGTACCACAAAGAAAGGTACCATGGTGTCCCTCCCTTGTTTGTTTGGCATGATTTGAAAGCAACTTGACCAGAGAATGGCGAAATCCCAATTCTAGTGTGAGTTAGATAGCAATAATACTTTTCATTTCCCAGTTGTCCCTCACCTCCAAAGATGAAGATGGAAAGTTGCAACTTGCATGGTCCCCTTCCACACCCAAATTGATTAATTAAGGTAATTAATCATACCTTAGAGCCTATAATAATTGAAAGCGGTATTACAATAATTCATATAAAAATGAAATTATTTATGTAATAATAACAATAATATCCGCAACAATTAATTAATCACATGGCCTTGTTCTTCTCAAATACACAACCTTTAATATTTGGTATGAAGTTGCCTGTTCCTTGGTCACAACCCCACACCTGTTTGTTCGTTAACTTAAGGCATACTCTGCTAACAACTTGTTTTCGTTCAATCACCTATTTTAATCAACAAAATCAAACCCAATCTTACTTTTCAAAGGATAAGAACGAAAATCGCCATGTAATAACAAGGGTTAAAACCTGAGAGGAACATTCATTTACCCTTACTTTTGTTTCATATCTGATTATCTCTGTTAGTTTAACTGAAAATCGAACAGATCAATTGTCGTCAGCGTTTACATGAGAACAATACGAACCAGTCATCGTGTAATGGAAGTGTCTGTATATTAGTATCCTGCGTTTTCTATTTTACTCTCCAAGTGATTTGATATCTTATCTCACCAAGAGTAGGTTATAATCCATTCCCTATTTAGTATTAGCTTTTTCAGCTCATTATTCAAGATTATTTGTAGTTCAAATCATTTATTGAACTGCTAATTGCTTCATGGCTATCATTCACCTTTCCAGGTAAAGATTCACTGTACTGGTTGGTCCTATTGATCTTTTGAGTGATTATCTTCCAAGTAATTTTCTTTGAGAATTCAAACGGACGAAGAAAAAAAATTCTTAAACTGAAGATCTTCAAGTTGGGTGGAGTCAAAGCAAATATATAAAAAAGTCAAAACTTATTATTACGACAATAAATAATTCTGCTATAAAAAAAATGTTATTAATTGCGTGTTTATTATATAAATTGAGTATACCTAATTCCGTGTAGCATCTTTGGACCAGTTCCTTTGAATAATTCGGCACTAAAAAAGTAACTAAAAAGAAAAAGGAAACAGTGGGAGCAAATCCAGTATGCTTTTGTGTGGTGTCTCCTTTTTCCTTCGAACCTTGATTAAAAAATTTCATAGACACCCTGAACATAGCTCATACTTTACTTTGATTCCTTCCCCTCCAGAGAAAAAAAAAATAAAAGAAAAAGGAAACTGTTTGGGAAGAGTAGTGGAAACACCCCCACAAACAAAGCAACACGATTTAAAAATGTTACTCAAATTGAAGAATCGTGGAAATTACTTACATGAATATACTTTGGTAAAGAAGAGACAAGTGTGGCTTAGTTGCCTTTTTTGACGATTTTGTTTGATAATCATCTTTAACATCACACTCGGTTCTTTGACCCACTGTTTTATTTGTAAATTTAAATTAAACATTTATATTAAAATATTTATTACTATTAATTTTTTAAATATTTTATTTATTTATTTAAAATTAAAAAATATAAAATATTCATAAAACCGAAAATCTCTGCAAGATTTTTATTATTTATTTTTAAAATATTTCAATTATGGTATAATTTTCTTTCAAGGTTATGATTAATTTTCATCATCCAACTTTCTTAATTATGAAGATTTATTTAATTCGATTTATGAGTTGTGTGGGTTTTATTTGATAAGAAAGACAGCAAGCTGAAGAAATTAAAATAAATAACCCCTATAAAGGTTGTGTTGTAGAGTGATTAACAAAGCCAAAACCTATACACACAAATTCTGTTCCCCACGTGTTGTAGACACACTTGCATAGGCATCCATTTTCAGAAAGCACATAAACTAGAGAAAATGTTGATTGTGCAAATTAAAAAGATGATATATAAGACTTGCTATTGTACTAACTTAATATTGAAAAACCAAGATTGAAGAAGAGAAGAAAAAAATAAAAAATATATCAAAATCGAAACATGATTGATAAAAAAAAATAACAAAAAATGAATTACATTTATAAAATATTAAGAAAATGAAAAAATTAATTATAAAATTATAATGAATACAAATTAATGTATTCACTAACTTTGATTTAAGGCAAATAGAAGGTAAGACGAAGAGTGGAAGAGAAACGCGTGAGAAAATGTGTAGTCTCTCCATATAAAAGGAATGTATAGGACATGATCAAAATTCCAAAATTTTGGAGGACTTAACTTTTAAAGTATATAATATATTTTTATTTATCGTTTGATATATTTTGTGAAGAGGAAAGAAAAATTGAAAATTAAAAGGGAGAAGAATTGAAAATTTAGTTAAAATAGAAAAAGAAAGTTTTTAAAATCGAATTTTTTAACCAAATAAAAAGGGCACTGTGTTTTTAATTTTCTTTCCTCGTCCGAGTGTCGCACATATAGTAAGAGAATAATCACTCATTTTTATGATTTAAAAATTTTAAATATATCATTTATCTTTATATTTATTATTTTAACATGTTATTATATGCTACTATTATGTTCAGTTTTTTAATAAGGACATAAATAAAAATAGATAATTTGTATGGCCAAAAATTAATCATTAATATTGTAACGACCCTAGAAATCGTTACTATAATGATGTTTTTGCAAAGTAGTAAACAAGTAAATAACAACATTTATTTTACATTATATTACTTGTAATTGTAACATATATTGAAATTCCAGTTCACTAACGGAACTTCAAAATATATTAACATCATTTATTTATACATTATACATGTAACGATAGCTCCCTCGAAGTTATCCCATCGAACTATCCCTAGCTGTCCGGTAGTCCCATCACCATCTCTCAACTCCTGATCTGCTCCCACATAAAAGTGATCATCGCGAGTCCCATCCACATGGAAAAATAGGGGTAAGTATTAAATCATTCGATATAATAAAACGAGATATAGAATTATATATTATGATCAATTACGAAATTATCAACACACTAAGACACCTTCGGAAGTATACCCTAACTATGCCCGAACTCGAAGCTATCATCCGTGGGCACATTATGATCGGTACCCGCAGTACCATTCCGACCACCCTCCACACGAGTAGGATTACTGGCGCCCTTCATCACTCATACCTGGAGTACCCCTCCGAGCGCGCCACCAGTCATCCCCCATCGACTTCTCACCACCTGATCTCGTAGTCTACCTGACCCGACCAATCAGTGAAGTCTGGGACCTCATTCAGAATCCTCTGACATAATTATTACACTAATATACTCTGTACCACCCCGGGTACCATTCAAACATACAAAATTTATTCACATTTGCCGGATTCTGGACCACCTGTCCTCACGGCTCATTCAGGTCAATAAAATAGTATTTGACTGATTCTGGCACCAACCTTCTGGCTCAGTCTAGCCAATATATAACGTCTCAGGACTGATTCTGGGCATCAGCCCTCAGGCTCAGTCTGACTCACACACGTCACAACACACTACTTTTATTCTCTCTCTATCTTTATATATATATTTTTCTAAAATAATTTCCGAAATCATTTCCGAAACTATTTCCGAACTATTTTCGAAATCATTACTATTTTGCCCTTAATCTTTTTTTTTTTTAAATCCACACCATATCCCTTTCTTCTTCCTTCGCTCGCTCAAGCGAGTACACCGGTCGCTTGAGCGAGATGGAACCCGAGAATCCCCGCTGTTTGAAGGCTTCGTCGCTCAAGCGAGTAAACCAGTCGCTTGAGCGAGACATGACCCTAGATTCCCTTTTGTTTGAAGGCTTCATCGCTCAAGCGAGTAAAACAGTCGCTTGAGCGAGACATAACCGAGGGTCCCCTTTATTTGAAGCTTTTGTCGCTCAAGCGAGTACACCAGTCGCTTGAGCGAGATATGACCCGAGGGTCACCGTTGTTTGAAGTTTTTGTCGCTCAAGCGAGTACACCAGTCGCTTGAGCGAGACATGACCCGAGGGTCACCTTTGTTTGAAGCTTTCGTCGCTCAAGCGAGTACATCGGTCGCTTGAGCGAGACATGACCCGAGGGTCACATTTGTTTGAAGCTTTCGTCGCTCAAGCGAGTACTGGTCGCTTGAGCGAGAAAGAACCCGAGAATCCCAAATTTTCCAGGTATCCTCGCTCAAGCGACGTATTTTTGCTTGAGCGAATTTTGCAGGTTTTTCAGTTCGCCATTTTCGAATTCCAGATTTCAATTTTCTCAGTTTCAATCACCCAAATTAGTTCCAAATCAAAATTAAACCATAAACATGTTCAATTTAAGTTAAAAACAACACTTTTATTATATAATTCATCCTTAATTTCAAGAATTTCTAAAACTTTTAAACCGTGAACAGTTCATCAAAATTCTGCAACAGACATTCTTCAAAATCAGACATTCTTCAAGACATTCCAATAATTCATATCTCTACTCCTATTCCTTATTCACAGAGTACCCAGCAATTCAATTTCATATATTGAATGAATTAAACTTCCCCTTACTTGGTATGGTATTTCTACCGAAGCTTTCCCACTTAATTCAGGTTCTCTCCCGTTTCACCAGATCCTGCACGAGTAGAGTCTCGTTGCTTGAAATTTAGACAATAGAAGAAGAAGGATGAGAGGAACTTCCTCTCCTCCCCCGCTTCAGTATTCATATATAAGCAAAAAAATTTACTGTGCATGAGGAAAACTTCGTTACGAAGTTTTCTTGCACAGTAATATTAATATAATATAAGGCATACGTCACAAATATTATTTTAAATACAAATTAAATAAAAATACAATGAATTTTTTTTAATATAATCTAAAATTTTATTATGGACTTAATTAGTGCGATTTGTGAAATTAAGTTTTGGGATCCCGTAAAATAATATTTTGTGTTAGAAGGGACAAATCAGTAATCTCCTTTGTCTCTTCTCCCAATCCAATCCATCCTCGAACCTTGTGAAACCACATATTTTCTCATGAAAGAATGCATTTCAAGCAAGCAAATTAATTATTAAAGGAAAATATTTTGTAACACTCCATCCATGCGTTGTATCATGTCAAACGCAGCAAAGATAAAATAAACAAAAAGAACCCAACAAAAACAAAACCATACAATAATAATAATAATATTAAACATAAAGAAGAGGTAAGATAAGGTAACACGCTATGGCGGCGGAATCGGGTGGTAGTGCCAACTTCGACCTTCCCGAGGAGGTGGTGCAAGTGCTACCGTCCGATCCCTTCCAGCAGCTCGATGTGGCTCGCAAGATCACTTCCATTGCTTTATCGACACGTGTCAACGCCCTCGAGTCAGAGCTGTCAACACTTCGCAATCAGATCGCCGACAAAGACAACCTCATCGCCGACCTTCAATCTCAACTCGACTCCCTCGACGCCTCCCTCTCCGATACCGCCGACAAACTCCTTCTCGCTGAACAAGATAAGGTTCCAACTAATTCTCTCTCGCTTTCTCACTCTCACGTACATACACGCGCGCTTGTTAATTTGTTTTGATGATTGAGGTTCCAGGAGAGCTTGCTCAAGGAGAATGTTTCGCTTTCCAACACCGTCAAAAAGCTCAATCGAGATGTCTCCAAGGTGCATTTTAACGGATTTAGTTCCTATACATACTCAATTTTGATCATAACCTATTTTTCGCGGGGGCGGGATTGTAATCTCGTTAAATTGAATTGCGTTGGAATTGTTGTCTTTGATGTGTGGGTGGTGGGTGACTTTTGGAGATATATTTGTATGCAGTTAGAGGTTTTCAGAAAGACGCTTATGCAATCACTTCAGGAGGAGGATGATAATTCTGTAAGTTCTGTGTTGGTTAATTTTTTAGTTTCATTTTGATGAAGAGAGTTTGGTATTCTGTGTCATGGACTAATTTCGCCTGTTCAATGGATTCATCATATGTTACTGAATTATACTCATTATATTTAGAATGTATGATGATGGTACGTACCTTACGGAACATTTGGCTTTTACTGGTGTTTGGCACAGGGAGGAGCTCCAGACATTGTCGCTAATATACAGAGCCAATCAAATTTGACTTCCACGTCACAGTTTGGAGGTATTTTCAACTCGTATGCTATTGCATTTCCGTTGATTCATGGTGCCCTGCGTAAATTGCATTTTCATCTAATTCATTTGTTTGATTACTCATTTGGTTTATGTACTTGTATTTTTTACGTTTTACTCCCTATACCCCAAGTACATACAAATACATTTTGTATTTAACTTTGTGTAGTCCCAACGTTTATTCTTTTTAATTTGTTTTAGTCCTTCCAATCTTGGCTGGGAGAGATTAGGAGATGTATTTGTAACGACTAAAACGTGTAGTTTTCAAATGTAAGAAATAAAACATAAAAAATGTGTGTATAGACATCAAATAAGGAAATTAAACCTAAATTTATTATATTCATATAATGAGTTTTAGCGTGCCGAGTCTTACTTCTATGTGGCAGTATAAACTTATTGGCAATATAGCAAGTTCAAATTCTTACAAACTCATTTCCTTTTCGTAAGGACCATGTAAAGAAATTGCCGTGTACTTCAGAAAACTGCCGGCCAAAGACATTGTAATATACATTTTTATCCTTTGAATATGAAGTCAGTATCTTATAATTTCGATCTATACACTGGCACATATAGTGTTTCCAGTGGTTTAATCTCCTCACAATGGTAATTGTTATCCATAAACTGTTAGGATTTGGATCCTCTCTATTTCCTTGGTCACCATGACAGTTCCATGTCTTGCGAGAAAATGGTTCAAGTTTCCCCGTACATCCATCCACCATTTCCTATGCACGGTGCACAAGTCTTGCATAGGATTTGTTTGTCTTTTTCTGTTTGGACAATTCATTGTGTTTCGCTTCTAAATAAAAAGAGAGGGTCAAGGATATACCTAGCTTATTGTGTTGTTAACCGGGTTTTGTCATTAATGTTTGCTGACAATCCAATGTTAAGATGTAAGCAAATCAATTTTATCTCAAAGAATATCTTAAATTTGTCGGAGAGTACACCACTGAAAACAATTTAGCTTATATTTGGGAGAGGGGAGAGAGAGACCAATAGGGTCATAGGGAGATGAATGGAAGTAAACCTTTTTTTATTTTTTTATTTTAGTAGTACGTGTTCACCTTTCATAGCCTCCCTCCTCCTGCTTTTTAAAATAGATCCTCATAGGTGAGGTCCTTCAGCTACACCAGTTTTGAGAAATTATCTTTTTATTGCAGATAATGATGCTTTATTGCCACCGTCTATTTCTTCTTCAACGGGAAATTCTTTAGCCGAGGAACATGAATCTGATGGTAAGTATTATCCTTCATGAAGGAATGAATATAGATACATTTCATTTTGCATTAACAAAGAGTCGAAGACCATAAAATATGGTGTCTGTTTTGATATTTCTGAAAAGTGAACAACTGTAATTTTGTATGTGTACCCTGACCTTCCTTGTATTCTTTTCGATTCCCTTATTGCAGCCATAAGACCTAGAGTACCACAGAGTCTCCTCTTAGCATCTCAAAGTTCTACCCCTCGGATTACTCCCCCTGGTTCCCCTTCTAGTCTGTCTGCATCAGTGTCACCTACGAGAACATCTAAACCTGTAACTCCGAGGCGACATTCAATTTCATTTTCAACCACAAGAGGCATGTATGATGATAGGTCTTCGGTGTTTTCTTCAATGTCCTTAACTCAAGGTTCAATATCAACCTCTGATGCAGGAGCAGGATCACAAACTGGTAACAAATACATTGTATTTAGAAATGCTTTCATCAGGTCGCACTGTAGATCTTCTTGGGCCTAGCATGCATATGCTTGATATTGTCCTGTAAAGAATGTTCTTGTTTGAATGATCATAGCTTTCCCCCTCAATTCATATTTTCTTCCTGGCTGTTATAGGACGAACACGGGTAGATGGAAAAGAGTTCTTTCGCCAAGCCAGGTGAGAGGTCTTTGATGCATTGAAAATTATGGAAACATGCCAACTTTTTGAGATAAATAGTTAAGTCTTCTATTTTATCTATTTGTTATTGTTAGGAACCGTTTGTCTTACGAGCAATTTGGTGCATTCTTGGCAAATGTTAAAGAATTAAATTCCCATAAACAAACGAAAGAGGTATTTTCTCCTACCTTGTCTCCCTCCTTTCTATACTTTCAGTTTATTGATGATACATATCTGTGCGTAAAATTATAGGACACACTACGGAAAGCAGATGAAATTTTTGGGCCTGAAAACAAGGATCTGTACACTATATTTGAGGGATTGATTAATCGCAATGTCCATTGATATTGTGCTCAGGGGAAGTTTTATTCCGAGATTGTAATAACGAATACTATTTTTCCCCACTGTATATCAGATTATAACGTTAATTATTGTCTAATAAAATAATTTTTTGCACGAAAACCAGTAAATTTGATTTGACATTCTATCTTTCAAAATTTCTCGTTAGCTTTCATGAAGTCATTCAACAACTATTTCTTTTAAGGATCTGATCAGTATGATTTTACTTCAGCATCGTGTATTAAGGTGAAAATACAATTTTGATATATATCAACATAAAAAATGATGTAGATAATGATTTTTTAAAGAATTATGTAATTTGTTTTTCCTTTAAAAATAGTGCAATTGGGAGTGTATAAGAACAAAACAACTTTCTTATGATAGACCTTTATCCTGAACTCAGGTTAAAATAAGATAGATATAGGGAATTAAACAGAAAACGTGGAGATTTAAAACATGTGATAAAAATAAAGTATAAGTAATATGAAAAAGTGATTTACATTGAATATTATTGTCTGGTTAAAACTAATTGTGACTTTTCAAAAAGTAGTTTACTTAAAAGCAATAATCACACGAAGGGTTTCATGCTAGGTTTAGTCAAAATTAGGAGACAAAGCTTACAATATCAAAAATTCAATCGAGGGGATAGATTTTCGAAATACTAAATGTTCAATAACAAAGATACAGTTTCAATAGTAACACTTAAACATTCCTAATATATGTTTTAGAAAGAAGTGTAAGTGGGAGTGTAATATTTTTTCTTTGTAAATGTAATAGTGTAATATTTAAAGATTTAGATATGTTTTTATTCTAGGGTAAACATGTTTTATTTTTGTGCTATAATATTTTTTACATTTAATCCCTCTAAAATTGAAAGTTATTGTTTTTTATTCATAATAGTATATGATATTTTTTAACTATTTTTGTGTTGGATGAAAAGTTTGAGTGATGTAACGACCCTAAAAGTTATTCTCTTGACAAAATAGTAAACAAGTAAATAAAACATTTATATTACATTATATTATCAGTAACGGTAATATAGATCGAAATTTCGGTTCATTAGCGGAATCTCAAAACATAGTAATATAATTTATTTATATAGATACATGCAAAAATAGCTCCCACAAAGATACCTTATTGAACTATCTCTGTTGTCCAGTAGTCACATTTCCACCTCTCAACTCCTGATCTTCTTCCACATAAAAGTGATCATTGCAGTCTTATCCATATAAAAAAAATAAGGGTAAGTATTAAATCATTCGATATAATAAAACAAATATAAAAGTAATAATTACATATTATCATCCATTACAAATTATCAATACACTAAGACGTCTTCCGGAAGTCTACCCTAACTATATCCGAACTTAGAGACTATTATCTGTGGGCACATTGTGATCGGCACTCACAGTACCATTCTGACCACCTTCCACACAGAGTAGGATTATTGGCGTCCTTCATCACTAATACTGGAGTACCCCTCCGAGTGCGTCACTAGTCATCCCCTATCGACTTCTCACCACCTGATGTCGTAGTCTACCTAACCCGACCAATCAGTGAAGTTTGAGACCTCATTCAGAATTCTCCGACATAGTTATTACACTAATGTACTCTGTACCACCCTGGGTACCATTCAAACACAACAAAAATCATTCACATCTGCCAGATTCTGGACCACCTGTCCTCACGACTCATTTGGGTCAATAAATAATAGTATTTGACTGATTCTAGGCACCAACCCTCCGGCTCAGTTTAGCTAATACATAACATCTCATAACTGATTATGGGCATCATCTCTTAGACTCAGTCTGACCCACAGACGTCACAACACACTGCTGATACTTTAAAATTTCTAATTTCATTCCATATTTTAGTTGTTTTTCTTAACATACATTTACTTTATTTCTAAAATTCCAATTATACCTTTAAATATTTTTTATTATTCATTTTTCATCCTGAAATTATTAAATTACTCTTTTGCCCTTAATTTTTTCTTAAAATTCCATGTATGTCCCTAAATGATTATTTTACCCTTGAACATTTTCGAAAATTCCTTCTATATCCCAAAAATGACTATTTTACCCTTGGACATTTTTAAAATTCCTTCCATGTCCCGAAAATGACTATTTACCCTTGGACATTTTTGAAAATTCCTTCCATGTCTTGAAAATGACTATTTTACCCTTGGGCATTTTCAAAAATTTCTTCTATGTCCCAAAAATAACTATATTACCCTTGGACATTTTTTAAAATTTCCTTCCATGTCCCGAAAATGACTATTTTACCCTTGAATATTTTTGAAAATTCCATTTATATCCCTAGGATGCAAAATGACTATTTTACCCTTGATATTTTTTTAAAATCCCCACCGTATCCCTTTCTTCTTCCTCCGCCGAGTAACCATGCCAGATTTTTCCTTATTTCTAATTTCCAAGTTTCAGCCAACCAAACTAGTTTCAAATCGAAATTAAACATGAAATATGTTCAATTTAAGTCAAAAATAACAATTGTATCGTATAATTCATCCTTAATTTCAAGAATTTCAAAACTTTCAAACCAAGAACAATCATCAAAATCAGAAATTTTTCAAAATTAGACATTCAAATAATTCATATTTCTACTTCTATTCCTTATTCAAAGAATACCCAACAATTGAATGAATTAAACTTCCCCTTACTTGATATTGTATTTCTACCGAAGTTTTCCTACTTAATCCAAGTTCTCTTCCGTTTCACCAGATCCTGCATAAGTAGAGTCTCGTTGCTTAAAATTTAGACAAAAAAAGAAGAAAGATGAGAGGGAGAACTACTTGCTGAAATTTTCTCGCCTCCTCCCCTTTTCTATATATATATATATATAAGAAAAATTTTACTGTGCAAGAAAAAATTTTCATTACGAAGTTTTCTTGTACAATAATATTATTATAATATATAATAATAAAACATCACGTCACAAGTGACCATTTAAATGAAACCTAGTTACATTATAAAGTAAGTAATATTTTTTAAAATATATTTAATATTTATTTCTTTTAAAAAATATATATTAAAAGTAAATTAATAATTTTTAAGATGGTTATGATAATTTGTCACGTTTTGATCTATTATATCTCTAGTCTAAAAAAATAGAATAAGATTAGTTGGTCTGTCACGTCTAGATAAACTATAGATCTATATCATTTTAAAAGAAGTGGATTAATCCATTAATATTTTTTATATAAATTTTTTATATATAATTTTAAAAAATATATTTATTTATATGAATAATTTTTATATATTTATTTATTTATTTATTAATTTTTTATTATAAATTAAAAACATTATATTTATGTTTTAAAATAATATATTATAATAAAAAATTTAAACTTAATTATTTAATATTTATAATTTAAATTATAACATTACAATATATTTATATATTTTTATTATATAATAAAATAAATATATTTTTATTACATGATAAAAATATGTAATATTTTTATTACATGATAAAAATATGTAATATTTTTATTACAAGATAAAAATATATAATATTTTTAATTATAATTTTTTATTTATTTTAATATATAAATATTTTTTAAATAAATTAATACGTTAATTTATCCTAACTCACTCCATTCATCCAGATTGACGATAAATAAAAACAAGTTAAAATTGACAATAAATAAAAACAAGTTAAAATTACTAATCGTTCCACTATTTTTAGACGTGTTTACTAATCATTCTAACATATTTTACCATTTCTGATAATTTAAAATTTTGGTTAGATGAAAAATAAAATATAATTTGTAAATATTAAAATAAAAATTTACAACTTTAAAATATTAAAAACCATTATTTCAAAATTTGCAGAATAAAAAAATATTTTTTATAAAATTACTTAAATAGCTCATTCATTTTATAGACACAAGTTTTCATCTATCTATATTTTATGATATTCTTGTAACTCTTCCATCTAAAATTTTTATTGTGTTTTTATTTCCCAACATCTTTATATTACACAAAGTATTATCAAATATCATTGTACTAAATTAATTCTTTTAAAATAATTCACCACATTTCCTTAAAATATATAATTACTTCGGTTTAATATAAGTTCTTAAACATAAAGTATAATCAGTATTAATTATTGTAATATTTTCTTATATTTCTCTTTGTAACTTGTTCTTTTAATATTATTTTAATATTCTAAACTTAAAGTAATGCGCGTTATTTTTTCCAAATCATTACATTATTAACCAAACTCATTCTTTAATAGGGTTAGATCTGGGATCAATTTCTTTATATTTGTAATGCTTCTTTAAACTACAGAGTCAAATAACAAGACTAGTTAATACACATAACTTGAATTTCATCAAATATAATGTTGTTCCATTTTTTATTCACATTTTCATATTTTTCTCTAGCAAGATTATATATAGATTTTGGTTTTCTTTACTGTTTGAAAAAATAAAAATAATTTTAAAACATAGTTTTGTTTAAAAATAATACAATCATAAATTTGTAAATGAAATATAAAAAACAGATAAGCAAGCTGGTCCCACAGAAAGTAACAAAACAAAACCACCCTCCCGCTCGGGACCCGGATTTGGAATAGAGAAAGGAAGAGGAGAGAGAAATAATTTTCCGGGGAAATTCCAGGGCTAATCGGAATCGGAAATGAGTAGGGTTTGGTGTTTGCTGTTCCTGCTTCTGATCTCGAAATGCGATGAAGTGTGGAGCTCCTACGCGGGTTCCGCTAGCTCCATCATCAACCCTTCCAAGGTCAAACAGGTTTCCTGGAAGCCAAGGTAAGCTCTCTGTTCCACTCTTTTCGCTGTCTGCGTCGATTCGATGTTTTAGCTTTATGAAATTCGAATCCATGTGTGCAGAGCTTTCGTGTATGAAGGTTTCCTCACCGATTTGGAATGCGACCACTTGATCTCTATAGTGAGTATTCCTATCTACTTTAAGCAAAAACTGTACCTCTGATTATGCTTCAATTGTTCTGTTAAGCTAGTTGCTGTTATTGGTTTAGGCTAAATCGGAGCTTAAGAGATCTGCCGTAGCGGATAATCTCTCTGGAGAGAGCACGCTAAGTGATGTTCGAACAAGCTCTGGCATGTTCATTTCCAAGAACAAGGTATTTTCCTCTTCCTCTTTTTGTTTGAAGTATAGAATAATTTTTTCAATATTCAATATTTATTTTATTGATTTTTTTTTATTATATATCTATAGGATCCTATTGTTGCTGGTATTGAGGACAAGATTTCGTCATGGACCTTTCTTCCAAAAGGTACTACGCCTTATATAGAAAATCAACATGAAAATCTGCTGGCTAGCCTTCTAAAGTTTGTATGGGCTTGTGTTTTTTTCTCTCCTCCTACTCCGCATGTGTTTTATTGCTTCCTTTGAAAGGAAGTTCGTCAATAAAAGGGAAGTAATAGATTGCTCTATAATAATCAAGTAATCTACTGAGAAAGTTAGGCTGCAAAGACCAATGCACCAATTGCAGTACAATAGAGTTGTAATTCATTAGTTATTCCAGATGCTCTCCAAATTTGAAAAAAAACAGAGGTTATTTGTATTCTTCGGAACCCTCCCCAAATGTTCAATGAAACGGTAAAAAAAAAAAAAAAAGAGAATTTATGGTATGATTGAATTAAGAAAATTAAAATAGATGACCCACATTAAAAGTGATGGATTATTTCAGGATCAGAAAGTATTTTACCCTTGATTTCTGAATCAATAATATGTATGTATTAAATTATTGTGTCGCTGTCGCCTGTAAAGCTGGGGACTACAGAAGAGAATGGACGTGTAAGTTAAATGATGAAAATGGTCTACATTCTTGTATGTACATGCAAACACACATATTTATGAACAAACGCTAATCCGTTTCCTGGTTATATTTTATGTTGACTTTCAGAAAATGGGGAAGATATTCAGGTATTGAGATATGAGCATGGACAAAAATATGACCCGCATCATGATTACTTCACTGATAAGGTTAACATTGTTCGCGGTGGACACCGCATCGCGACTGTTCTGATGTATCTCACTAATGTATCCAAAGGCGGTGAGACAGTGTTCCCTTCTGCTGAGGTTTGTATAGCACAGAAGTAATAGATGTATGTCTTTCCTCAGAAAGTAAAGTGCTTCTTTGAAAAATCATGTCAGTTTCTCAAAAATTTTATTTTTTCATTGAATGGCTTTGGTGTACAGCTGAGTTCCTTCAGTGCTGTATTGTGTCAGTTGAATGCGCCGAAGTTTCTTCCTAGCTGACATCATAATCTATATGAATTTTTCTCTCATTATGACTAGAGCTCATATACTATGCCATTTCTGACACTAAGTAGTGAAAGGCTTAGAAACTGAGCAGAAAATTTGGAGGTAAAGCATCATGTAAATGACCAATTTGGTCCCTGAATATCTAACCTAATGTAGTCCTTGAAGAAACAAAATTTCATTTGATCCCTCATGCGAAAAAGTACGAATTGATCCTAAAAATTACAATTTAGTGTTAAATTAATCCTTAAACTTTTTCTTAATGACAAAATAGTTTTATAAGACATAACAGCATGATGTAATTGTCCCACCTTTTATATATTTAAGCACAAAATTAAAAAATCAGACAAGGAGTATGGTGTTGAACTGTACATGTAGAAGTACATATTATGCTCACTATTCATGCTTTCATTCTTGGAATAGTTCCTCTTTGACAGTTCCTTCGGTTTCTATCGTTATTACCAAATATGTAATTTTGCTTCGGAATTTTCGTTCTGCTTACAGGAACCTTCACGTCGCAGAGGGTCGGAAACAAGCAGCGATCTCTCTGAATGTGCAAAGAAAGGAATAGCAGGTGGGCAACTGGATCAGTAATAACTCTTATATTCCTCTGTATCATACTTTCATGTCACGTTTAATGCCGCTCAATTTGTAGTAAGTAGTTGTTCTTCTCTTCTTATCTGCCATTGTATAGTGAAACCGCGTAGAGGGGACGCACTTCTTTTCTTCAGTCTTCTCACAAATGCTACCCCAGACACTAGCAGTCTCCATGCTGGATGCCCTGTGATCGAAGGTGAGAAATGGTCAGCAACAAAGTGGATTCATGTAGACTCGTTTGATAAGACGGTGGAAGCTGGAGGGGACTGTTCTGATCGACATGTAAGCTGTGAGAGATGGGCTTCCCTTGGAGAATGCACTAATAATCCTGAGTATATGATTGGATCGTCAGACCTTCTTGGCTACTGTAGGAAGAGCTGCAAGGCATGTTAGAAATTTTACTCGATGCTTTCCAAGATCCAACATTTCATCTCAACCACGGGTTTCAGATTTCAGTTAGTTCTTCATTTCTTTCTCCTCCTTCCTGTATTGTAAAGTAATTCTGCATGATTATGATGGTGCTCTGCTATCACAATCTTACTTCAAGTGGAAGAATTGAGTTCTTCTTAGGGATTCTTCTTTTTTTTTGTGGGTTATTTTGTATGTATAAAAAGATATAACAAATACAAATTAATTTGTTATCATAATTTTATAATAATTAGAAATTATTTGAATGATAAAATTAGAACATATAAACGAAAACAACTTGAGGCCTATATTAACAATCATTTTAATTAATTGATAATGTCCATTAAACTAAAAAATATATATTTTAAAAAACTACAAATGCGGGATTTAAAAAAAAAACATTTTAAAACATCTATACTATATGCATGTTTAGCTTATTTTTCAACAACTTTTTGTCGTAGAAACTCAATCATCATACCACCGAATAGTATTTGACAATGAAGAAGCATGGAAACCGTACTAGGGAAGGAAGTAAGGAACAACAATAAGATTAATTTCGTCCATTGTATAATTTGAGTAATGTTTTACACGATAAGCAATTTTGCTGTAAATAGTAAATACTTAATATAAGAAAATTGTGTGATTTAATATGATTAAAAATATTTTAAAAAAATTAATGCAAGAATTATTAATTAAACTTTTACCGGGTGCATAACTTTCTTAAAAAAATGTTTTTGCTAAACAAACATGCATGGTGTAGTTGAGCATCAATAACTGTTTTTACGGGATATACTCAATGTCAAAGATGAACGGGTCAGACGGGAAGAGTACTAGGCAACAGTGAATGAAGAGGCTTAGGATGGGTGCTAGAGAAGGAATACAATTGTGATATTCTATATATATGTTCTGAATTATGCAAATCAAGTGTCTTAAAATGAAGACGTACAGTCGCAGAACAAAGAATACCCTGCATGTGCCAGAAGATTTGATCATTCAAATCTTGTTAAGGTTGCCTGTCAAGTCTCTTGTCCGTTTCAATTGTGTGTGTAAGTCATGGCTCTCCCTTATCTCCGATTCACACTTTTCACTCTCACATTTTGAACGAGCTGCCACTTGCACAGAGAGACTTGTGTTCTTTGAGCCTTCAGCTCCCGAAGTCCGATCCATAGACTTCAATGCACCCCTTTATGATGACTCTGCTTCTGCTGTATTAAACCTCAACTTTTTGCCCCCCAAACCTAATGATGTCCGGATCCGGGGTTCCTCCAGGGGGTTTGTACTCTTGGAGTGTTGTCAAAGACTCTGGATGTAGAATCCATCCACTGGTGTCCACAAACAACTATCTTCCTCACCTATTATGCCCAATAAGGATCCTATGCTTTTGACAATTCTCTTCGGTTTTGGGTATGATCCGTCAACAGATGACTACTTGGTGGTGAAAGTGCTGTGCAGGGCATTCTCACGTACTAATGCAAACCGTGTGGAATTTTTCTCGCTCAGAGCTAATGAATGGAAAGAATTTGAGGTCATATTTGAACTCCTTTAATGATATCAAAGCTGGGTTGCTCTTCAACGGTGCTCTTCATTGGCTGACTAGTCGTTATGATTTAGGAAAAAATGTTCTTGTCTTTGATTTAACAAAAAGGAATTTTTCAGAGATACCTCTTCCGCTTGAATTTGAGTGGGACTATAACACTTGTGATTTGGTGTTACATGGAAAAATTCCCAGTCTATGTATTTTAGGTTGTTGCTCTCCAGCAGAATTATGGGTGATGGAAGAATACAAAGTGGAGTCATCTTGGACTAAGACTATTGTTGTGTCTGTTGATGACATTCCCACTAAATACTTCTCTCCAATTTGCTCTACAAAATGTAGTGATATTGTTGGAATAGATGGGAGTACTGGATTGGCAAAATATAGTGACAAGGGACAGCTGCAAGAACATAGATATTGGAGCAGTTCATATCGATCCGAGGTGGCTGTGTATAAGGAGACTCTAGTTAGACTCCAGTCAGAGCGTCGATCCTGTTTCAGTCCATATAGATTGCAGGTGGCTGTGTATGTAGAGTCTCTGCTTTCACTCCCCTATGACAGCCAGCATGCTGAAGAAGATGACTGACAATAACGAACAGCAAGAACTAGGTTCTGAAATATTTTCCGATAGCTATTCTATTCTCTTTTTGCTCACCTTGTAACGTGATTTATGAATTTTTCTGGTATAATAAGCATGAAAAGGTAATGGGCTGAATGATGAAACTGCTTTTCATCATGATGTTATTTTGTGTTGTTGCTTTCAATTTCTATCCTTCCACTCTTTCACACAGCTGACACTGTTCATATAAACTGGATGCAATGCTAGTATTAATGGGGATGTCCAATTAAGTATAAGCTACAAAGAAGTTGTTATGAAGGCAATATTTTCCATGCCAAATTAATGGTTTATATATATATATATATATATATATATATATATATATATATATATATATATATATATATATATATATATATATATATATATATATATATATATATATATATATATATATATATATATATATATATATATAGAGAGAGAGAGAGAGAGAGAGAGAGAGAAATCCCCTAACTCCCTCTGTTATGTCGTAAGCAATGGAAGAAGTAGATAGTAGCATTTGGTAACAGAATAGAGAACGAAAATTAGGGATAAGCAGGCAGCACTTCCAGGGACAGCAACCTCCTTTCCAACTGAATAACTCCCACTCTCTAAGCCCCTTTTTCCCTTAGCCTTCCTTAACAAACTCCTTTGGTCTTATCTTCAATCTAAAACATTAAGACATTAAATTTATTGGTCTTTCTCACTCATATTATTCAATTTTACAGTTTATACCCAATGTTAGACTTCAACTTCCATTTGAATTCTAACATTAAAACATAATAAAAGCATATTTTGTGAATTCTAACTCTCACATTAATTTCAATGGAAGCAATAGGGAGGTTATTCCTGATTACTGCTTCTCTCACCATTTACTTGCTAGTTAAAGCTTACGAATTTATGAACTCAGTTTTCTTGCTGTTTCTCCATGAATAATGCAGTGGGAGTAGCAAATTGGACCTTTTGATGCAGAAAAGTCCACATTCGAGAGAATCAGTATTTAACATGTTACAGCGGCTAAATTCTTAATTGGTTTCTGGTTCAGCATTATATCTTCTTTATGACTTTGATTTTTGTGGTTCTCATGAAATTCTCGAAGTTGGTTCTTACTACGTGCATTTCACGAACTTAGTTTACACACCATTTTCATGAAGTAGTAATATAATTGTCAACAAATAATTTAGTCATTGTTTGTATCTGTTGGCTGACCCTTTCCTCTTCTTTCACTAGTGATCAAGTTAAAGGTGGAACATTATAAATTCTAATTTAGAACCTTTCTTTCTTGCGTTTCTTTTCATTCATTTCTTAACTCTTTTCTTTGTTTAAGATCAAAAAGTTATGTCATGATTCGTTAAAACAAATGTATGAGTGGATGATGTCTTTGATTGAAACCTTAAAAATTGCTAAAGATCTTGTGCAACCAAAGTTGTGTTTGTCGTTCTGTTGTTTTCCCAATTTTGTATCCTTAGCATGTAATGTTTTCTTGTATAATGACAGAGAATCCTTGAACATGCTGGTTCTGTTCTCTCAGTTGATCCAGAATATAAGAAGTTACAATGACTACTATTATAATGTGATGATTGATTTTCTTTTCAATGATGCTTTTTTTATAGATGGATAAAAGGGTATTATTGCTTCAACCAAACTTAGAATGAGACATGCCAAGTTGTTCAAGAGTAAACAATTTACTGATAAAAGTATCAGCTCTCATACCCAAGTTTTTGCAACATGGTTGCTCCCAGTTTGAAATATGATTTTTCAATTAGGAGAAATAACCAGTTCCAGCTTCTACGTTTTAAACAAAACTGACGTGAACTTTCCTTAATCATATCATATGTTTAACACCAAAGAATTATGCGGGTAGTGTGACTCTTCTAGGCTAATAAAGTTAATCCTATAATGTTGTGTTATAATATGAATTATGATTATTATTATGATTACTTCTATGAGGAATTGATTATGATGAAATCAGCCAATAAAGTTCAGTTCAATTAATGAATTATCTCACTGTCGAAGTCAGAACTTTATATCCTCGCAAGTGTTTTTTTAAGTCTTGAAAATTGTCTAAATTCTGATAAATCATCAAAATCCAAACCATCTAAATTTTAATTTTTAAACAGGAGAATATGATGAAATCACTATTACGAAAGATTATAGATAGAAATGATATATAGAGATAAAAGGTGGTGGGGTCGGTGATTCTGCAAGAAAGCAAGATTTGATAGGAATAAAAGACTACACGGGCCAAGCGGAAAGAGATAGTAGACGTGCACCAACAGCAACTAGACCTTGGATTTTGCACCACTATTTCTCGTAAATCTCTTTCAACTTCGACCCTGCATTATTATTTATTTATGTATACCTCTCTTTAATTGAGTAACAACACAAGTAGTATCTTAACATAACAAAAAGTAGTGGCTTGTGTTGTGTGAGGACCGAATGCAAAACATGGAGGTGGATCAGATGCAGAGACAGTACTTGGACTACATCAAATCCTTATTCTTGGAGGTAGGGCAGACAAACAGTGAGTGCAATAAATTCACAATTAATTCTGGGGTTGTTTTCAGTTGTTGATTTTGTGGGTCTTTTTTTTCTTACGTATGGTGGTTGAAGGGCTTCCTGGATGGTCAATTTCTACAACTTCAGCAGCTACAAGATGAGAACAACCCGGACTTTGTAGTTGAAGTTGTGTCTCTTTTCTTTGAAGATTCCGAGAGGCTTCTCAATGACCTTACCTTTGCTTTGTGAGTTTGCTACCCTCCCCTTAGTGTTAATTTAGTGGCTTAGGAAAAGTGCATGATCTTCCACCTTCTTGTGCAGAGATCAGAAAGGTATTGACTTCAAAAAAGTTGATGCTCATGTTCACCAGCTAAAGGGTAGCAGCTCAAGGTATTATCACTTTTCTATTCGACCTAACCAAAATTGTATAAACCATAAGAATCTGAACAAAAAGGAACCTGATTTTGCATTTAAACTTTGTCTTTTCTGTGTTTTGCAACACTTGCGTACTTGTTGATTCTTGAAGAAATAGAGTAACATACTAACAAACTAATGGTTTTGAGATATTAATCTTGGTAGAAAAAAAGAGGTGGTTCCAATTTGGTTTCTGTTATAAACTATGGCTTCTTAACCTTGGTTTACTGAGCCAAGTTTTCTGTCTGGCCACAGCATAGGGGCTCAGAGGGTAAAGAATTGTTGCATTGCTTTCCGCAACTTTTGTGAGGAACAGAACATAGACGAGTAAGTAATTTATCTTCAGACAACTTTTTCATTCTTGAAATTTTTAGACTCCGGAAGAGTAGGGCAAAATGTTTGATAACATCAAGGCCTAATTTCTAGCTTTGCTTGCAATTTTATACATTATAATTGCTACAGGTGCCTCAGTTGTCTGCAACAAGTAAAGCAAGAGTACTGTCATGTCAAGAATAAGCTTGAAACACTGATCAGGGTAATGATAACAAAAACTCTAGCTGAAGAACATTCTGTTTAACTCTGATGTGTAACTTACGTGTTCTTTTTTATTTGATGCAGCTTGAGCAACAGATAGTGGCAGCTGGTGGATCAATTCCAACGATGGAATTTAGTTTCTAAGGATGTGTGAATTTGTAGATAAGGGAAGTAAGAGTATTTTGTGATCCACTTCTTTGGTGAAAATTCTCTTTACTGTTGTGTCTATGATGAATGTATGGATTTTTATGAACCGATATAAGTTCCTTTCTGTCTAGTTTAACTGTTTTCGCAATAAGAAAAGGCTCTTTCTCTCTTTCTATTTTTTTCTACCTCCAGAAAAACTTTTATGCAACAAATGGTATGAATGCCAGATATTTATTACATGTTTGGTTTGACCTTTCTAAGAGTCTCGAATCCATGTTTTAGATGTAAAAGAATAGAAGTTATTTGAAGTAGTTTTTATTTAAACATGAATCATGAATATATGATTAACTTTATCTGACACAAAATGCAAGTCAAATATCATTTTTTTCTTGAACGAAATAGCAAATAATCCTTATCAAACCCCATAAATTGATATACATAAGTTAAACCAGTTTCAAGGATGGATGTGAGTTAAGGTGAGTGATTTTTTTTTCAAGAGTCATGGGTGATTTTGTAGTCATTACTTTGATGTAAGACCAGGTAAAGTGTTTGGAGCAAGATCCTAAATTAGCGACATTGTTGTCATTACGTGGAAAATGTAGCATAAGTTAATAGTTGGCACACATTCATTTAAGAGTTAAAAAATATAGTGGTTGAAGATTGTGCAGATATAAAGTTACTTTATTTTGGAATATGAAACTGGGGAGGGACAGCATAAAATTCTTTTAAATTGGTATTTCAGATAAGGAGAATCCTGGAAAGATATGATGCTTCACAAGTCAAATCAGTCCTATGAGGAATACATTATTTATTTTAAGTTTTATTTTATATATATCAAATTTATCCTAATTTTTTTAAAATATTTTTTGTTTTTATTTAACTATTTTAATACTTATAAATTCTAAGTAATAAATACAACAAAAATTTAAAATTATATATATATATATATATAAATTCTTTTTAATCTCATTATTTTTTTAGTTTTTATAACTTATTTTATTCTTTTTACTTTATATATATATATATATATATATATATATATATATATATACACACGTAAATAATTTTATCAAAAGTTGTGGATAAAAACTAAAAACTTCATATTTCAAAATATTGCATGGGTAGGTATTATAAGTTAATAGGAAAAAGACTGTTTACTTTTTGGGTAGTATAACTATAGAGCTCTTTTCTATAAATATGATGGTTTTGTAATTAGTCTTATCCTTTTCTGGTTGCTCTTAGAGCTTTCTTTTATATCGCATTTTATAACACACTGAAGAAATATCCAACAGATAATCTTAACGGGCCTATTTTGAAATAATTGCTTCAACTTCACAGATGAAGTTATTCTTCATTGTTCAAAGTTGATATAAAAAGAGGATCCAAATCCAATTAGAATACGGGAAAAACTTGACCGAAAGATACATGGATAGCCTCACCTCACTGCTGAAACTAGAGTATATATAAAACAACAAGAATAATGAGTTACAGTTGTGAGAGAATCACAGACTAGTGAAGTGATCTCTAGTTTTAATTTTGAGGATGACTCCATCTTCTCCACTGTTCCTCAAAGCTCCCTATCTTAGCTGACTGCTCCTTAAGGCCAAGCCTGTTTGCATACAAACTTTGGTAAGCCTTGGCATCCACACTGCTTAAAATTCTCACCAATTTTCCACCTTTTTCATCCACCACGATTTTTCCATCACTTGATTCATTGCCATCAGCCAAAACTTTAATGGGCTTCACCCCAAATTTTGGATTAAGACCTGAATAGCTATCAGCCAAGACAACTGCGCCTAGAATTTCCCCCAAGAATGTGCCCTGCAAACACAAAGGACTTAAACAGTAGAAACAAGGTACTAATCCTATCCTAATCTAGTTTTGTCTAATGCAATTTCTTAACGTTTGATCAATCATCTGCTTCCAATATCTGCACTGCACCAACATTTTGTCTTAATCTCTGTACCTAATCCTCTATATTTAGTTCTTGTATCTCTATTTCGTAGCGGTTTTACAATAGATATACGATATATTCCTATAGGAATCACCATGCTTCTTAAGGGGGCATTATGTTAAAATGATTCTAAAGTTGATTATTCTCCCTTTTGTGTCACAAGTTTAATGAAGTTTAAGCGTAACTACTGAAGTAAAGATGTGAAAAGCTCGAGAAAAAAAAAGGTTGTGGGCAGAAAGTTATACCATATGTTGATATATGCTTTGAGATTGTTTTAAACGGTATAGCCTTGACAGCAGTTTCTCTGAAAATACAGCCTCTGGTGTTCTTGGTGTCCTGCGTAACTCGCCTATAATGGCTGAAAACGAAATTAATCTGCGCTGGGTGCTTAGTGGAATGAGTGTGATATTAACTTCTGATTCAAACACTGTCTTGGCTGCTAAAGGATCCAGGAACATGTTGAACTCAGCATATTGGTTGGAAGGAACTGAAAAGATATTTCCCTTGTCATTGACATTGTTGCTTATGTGTCCCCCGACTACATATACTGTTGTATTTATATAATTTATTATATATATATATATATATAAATTATTATTCTCTATTTGTTATGGATTAACATTAATCAATAAATTAATTTATTTGTAATTATCAATTATATTACACATCATCATTTATGTAAATAATAATTTAATTTGGGTTTCGATGAACGGTCCGTGATGGGTTGGATCGTTCGAATCGAGTTACTTATTGAGAGATCCTGGTCTCTGCGATAGGTGGATAAAAGCTGATACCCCATTAGTCAGTTTAACGTGTGACAATATAATCACTTTAGATACTACGTTCAAAGCACCCTATCGAAAGAGAGCAACATTCTCTCATAAGCATTCAATGGATTCTTCAACAATTCCAGGTACACAATTTTGAATATATTATATTTATTGTATCTAATATTATTATGTATTTTAAACAATTGGTATCGAGCCAAAAGATACAGTAATATAATTGTTCATTATTTTTGTAGAGTGTATCATAAATTTTAATAATTATTCATTATCGGAAAGCATGAAAATTTAATTTTCTCGTTTGAGTTCAAATTAATTGAATAAGGGGCGAATTTCAAAATTCTTTCCTGGAGCAGAGAACTCTAATTATAAAAAATTAAAGTTTTTTGTTCTGTTTTACCCCTAAATCTGTAATCAGAGGTTGAACCCTAAATTTGCAATCAATTTTTTTTTGAACCCTAAATCTGCAATCAGAGGTTTTTCCCTAAATCTGCAATCAAAGGTTTTACCCTAAATCTACCATCCTTTTAACATGTTTTGAATCAAACCTTTATATTATCAATCTCTGTAACAATGATGGGCAAAACAATTTAGATTTTTTTTGAACCTCTTTCTTCGCGTCTTCATTCTCTGTTTTCTGGTTTCACTGGTATGGTGGCGGCGACGGTGGTTTACGCACCGCGCGTCTTTGTCCTTCGTCGTGGCTGCGCCTCTGTTTTCCGGTTTCACCGCATGGTGGCGGCGACAGCGGTCTACGCACCGGCGTGGTGGTCTGCGACGATGGGTATCTGCGTCGTCGTCTTCCTCGGCGCACCTCCTGTCGCACCTCCTGTGTGCGCGTCCCTGCCGACGAGAACCAGTGGCCCGCGAACTCGACGTTTTTTTTGTTGTCTTGGAGGCGCATCTGGTTCTCAGGCTGGTGGTGGGCCGTTTGTTCATGGTGGATCTATGTTTCGTGTCACCGGTTAACGACGGCGATGTCGTAGACGGTGCACGTTTTCGGTGACTAAGCGGTGCACGTTTTCACTATGTTCGTACATGTGCTACTCCAGTTTCATGGACGTGGCTTTGCACGTTGTGGGCGTGGGCGTGTCAAGTTCCGAGTGGCTTGGCTTTGCACGTTGTGGGCATAGTACGAACGGGCGTGGAAGAGAATTCAACATTAAATTCCACTAACATATTATTTTGTTTTATAAAATTATATATATAATAATAAGAAAAGATGAATTTGAAAACAAATAATATTATTATGTTTTTCTTAAATTTTTTTTATGAAGGAAACTGGATCAAGAGATTTTGTGAATGAGCTTGCTTGGGCTGAAAAAGTTCCCTGGCCTAATCCGTAAAATTAAGGACCCTTATTATTATTATTAATTCATGCATCATATAATTTTTTGTTAAGCATAATATAATTTTATATGATTGTAAACTCACCTATCGTGGGTATAGTTGTATAAAATTTTGTGAACATAAAATAATTTAATTATTTTATTTAATTTATATTACATTAATATTAATTATACCCTATCGGTATTTTATTGTTAATGTATTTTTTTTAATGTAATTCTAAATTTTATTATGTCAATTATTTGTCTTGTACCCTATCGGTATTAGATTTCTTGTGACATGAGATATGCATTGTATTCTTATTTTTATTTTAATTATATTTCTTATTTATTATGACTCGGGACCCTTAGGCGGGTCATAGTGAATGAGAAATTTGATATTATAGGCATGTTTTGTTGTGTATTCAGAAACATTTATTTTGTTTATTTGCACAATAATTGTGCGTATTAAATGTTTCTTTGTTATTTTGATACCAGCTTCTTTGCCTATGCAATTGACTTCGGTCAAAACTTTAAATGGGACAAATTTTGAGGATTGGAAAGAATCTCTGGATTTGTATTTGGCAATTACTAATATGGATCTTTGTTTGAGAGAGAACGAGCCTCCAACTCTTACTCCTGAGTCCACTACTGTCCAAAGAGCTTATCGTGAGAAATGGGAACACTCAAATAGGGTGTGTTTGATGGTGATGAAATACACCATGGAGAAGTCTATTCGACAAAGCATTCCAGATGATGATAATGCTAAGGTTTTTCTGAGATCAGTGGGTGAGAAGTTTAAGACTTTTGACAAAGCTCAAAAGGGTCAATATCTGTCACTTCTTGAGAAGACCAAATATGATGGTGTCAGTGGTGTTCGTCAGCATATGATGAAGCTTGTGCACTATTATAATAAACTCAAATCTTTAAAGGTGGAGCTTGGTGACAGTTTTTTGATTTGGCAGGTTATGGAATCACTTCCTTCTCAGTTTGATGTGTTGAAGACGTCTTACAACGCTCAGAAGGAGGAATGGACAATTGACGAGATGATAGCTATTATTTCCCAAGAGGAAGAATCTATTAAAAAATCCAAGCCGCATAGTGTGCAATTCACAGCTATTACTTCAGGTACTAAACCTGTTAAAAAGGGTTTCAAAGGAAAATCTCGCCATGAAAAGAGGAACACAGGGAAAGCATCAGTAGGTTTGGAGCCTAAGAAGAAGTACTTTAAGGGGAATTGTGCCTATTGTAAGAAATTTGGGCATAAGCTAACTGATTGTTATATTCTTAAGAAAAAGAATGCTGATAAGGAAGGTAAACACATGTATGTTCTAGCTTGTTTTGAATCTAATGTTGTTGATGTTCCTCCAAATTCTTGGTGGTTTGACTCGGGTGCTACTATTCATGTTGTGAATTCTTTACAGGGGTTCACAAGCCTGAGAAAACCAAGTGACCTTGAATCCAAGATTATAATGGGAGATGGAGCTAGAGCACAAGTTGAAGACATAGGAGTAGTGTCTTTAAATTTACCTTCTGGACATGTTTTGTTATTGAAAGACGTTGTTTATGTACCTTCTATGCGAAGGAATTTAATTTCAGTTTCAGCTTTGGATAAATGTGGCTACACTTTTGAATTTGGCAATGGCAAACTTGCTATTTATTTCAATTCGATTATTGTTGGCTTAGGAGTTTTATGTGATGGGCTTTACATGTTAAATCGGAATGACATGTTAGTTAATTCTATTGTTGGACATAAGCGTAGTAGAGTTGATGAAAATTCCTCTATATTGTGGCATAGACGTCTGGGGCATATTTCTAGATCTCGAATTGAGAGGTTGATTAAAGAGGGTATTCTGCATGATCTGAATTTTTCTGATTTTGATACTTGTATTGATTGCATTAAGGGCAAGCTTACTGCAAAAGTAAGAAATGCAGGTGCAAACAGGTGTGATGATGTGTTGCAACTTATTCATACTGATATGTGTGGACCTATGACACCCATTTCCATGGGTGGATACAGGTATTTTATCACGTTTATAGACGATTATTCCAGATTTGGATGGATAGATCTCCTACAAGAAAAGTCAAGTTCCTTGGATGCTTTTAAGTCCTTCAAAGCTGCTATTGAGTTGAAAACTGGAAAGAAGATAAAATGTGTAAGGTCTGACAGAGGTGGAGAGTATTATGGCAGATATGATGAGACTGGAAGAAATCCAGGACCTTTCGCTAGATTTCTTAATGAATGTGGTATTGAAGCTCAGTATACTATGCCCGGTACTCCTCAGCAAAATGGTGTTGCAGAAAGGAGAAATCGCACTCTTCTAGATATGGTGAGATGTATGTTGAGTCATTCCTCTTTACCGAATTTCCTTTGGGGAGACGCTTTAAGGACTGCTGTGTATATTCTTAATCAAGTACCTAGCAAGTCTGTTTCAAAGACTCCTTATGAGCTTATGACTGGGAAGAAGCCAAGTTTAAGACACTTTCATGTGTGGGGTTGTAAGGCAGAGGTGAGACCTTATAATCCTCAGTTGAAAAAACTTGATCTTAAGACTGTCAGTGGATTCTTCATTGGCTATTGTATCGGTTCTCGTGGTAGCAGATTTTACTGCCCTTCTCATTCCATCCGGGTTATTGAGTCTGACCGTGCGATATTCTTTGAGGATGATTTGGACAGTGGGAGCAGTGCGTCACAACCAGTCACTCTTAGAGAAGACCGTGTTGTTGTTCCCGTACCATCCAATTTTTTTCATGCAGATAATGTGATTCCAGTTGTCCGTGATGAAAATGATTCGGTTCCAGATTTTGTTGATGCTACATCACATGTAGTAGATGAACAAGTTCATGATGATGTCACTGAAGAGGTTCCTTTGAGGAGATGTCAAAGATTACGCAAGTCTTCTATACCTGATGATTATCAGGTGTATCTTCAAGAGCATGAATATGATCTTAATGATGTTGATGATCCTACTACTTTTAAAGAGGCTATCTCTAGTTCTCATGGTTCTGATTGGTTAAATGCTATGCATGATGAGTTAGCTTCTATGACCCATAATGGAGTTTGGGATCTTGTGGATTTGCCACTCGGTTGCAAACCAGTTGGGTGTAAATGGGTCTTCAAGACTAAGCGTAATCCAGATGGAAAAGTTGAGAGATATAAAGCCAGACTTGTTGCAAAAGGCTATAGTCAGAGGGATGGCATTGATTATAAAGAGACTTTCTCACCGGTCTCTACTAAAGATGCTTTTCGTGTGGTTATGGCCTTAGTAGCTCATTTTGATTTGGAGCTTCATCAAATGGATGTCAAAACAGCTTTTCTTAATGGAGATTTATTTGAGGAAGTGTATATGATTCAACCTGATGGTTTTGCTAAAAGAAACAATGAGCATTTGGTTTGCAAGTTAAAAAAGTCTATTTATGGGTTGAAACAAGCTTCTAGACAATGGTATTTGAAATTTGACCAGGTGGTCACTTCTTTTGGCTTTAAGGAAAACGCCTCGGATCAATGCATTTACTTGAAGAAAAATGAGAGTCATTTCATCATTCTTGTCTTATATGTTGATGATATTCTTCTTGCGAGTAGCAGTGTTGAACTTTTGGCTGAGACAAAGTCAATGTTAAATAGTCATTTTGATATGAAGGACCTTGGTGATGCCTCTGTTGTTCTGGGCATTCAAATTTTTCGTGACAGGTCACGTGGCATTCTTGGATTGTCTCAAAGAGGATATATTGATAAAGTCCTTAAACGGTTTAACATGCATTCCTGCTCCTCATGTGCAGCACCTGTTCAAAAAGGTGATAAACTCTCTAAATCTCAATGTCCTAAAAATGATAATGATAGAATTGAAATGGAAAAAATTCCATATGCTTCCGCTGTTGGTAGTTTAATGTATGCTCAAGTTTGTACTCGTCCCGATATTGCTTTTGCTGTTAATGCTTTAGGAAGATACTTGAGCGACCCGGGTTTGGGTCATTGGAAAGCCGTTAAAAAGGTCTTTAGATATTTGCAGGGAACTAAGGATTACATGTTGACCTATAAGAAGTCTGATCAACTTCAAGTCATTGGTTATTCCGATTCTGATTTTGCTGGTTGCCCTGACGATCGAAAATCTACTTCTGGTTTTATATTTAAGTTGGCAGAAGGAGCTATTTCTTGGAAGAGTGTTAAACAAACTCTTACAGCTACTTCTACTATGGAGGCAGAATATGTTGCTTGTTATGAAGCTACTTGTCAAGCTGTGTGGCTTAAAAATTTGGTTTCTGACTTTCAAATTGTTGAAAGTATTTCTAGGCCACTTGTGATATATTGTGACAACACTGCTGCTGTACATTTTTCTCAAAATAACAGAAGTTCTACTCGCTCAAAGCATTTTGATATAAAATTTCTGTTTGTTAGAGAAAAAGTTTTGGATTTTCAAACTCGGATTGAACATACTGCTACAGAAAATATGTTAGCAGATCCACTTACTAAAGGCTTAGCTGTTGGAGTTTTTCAAAATCATGTAACTCATATGGGTGTGGTTAAGTCTTTTGATGTACTGGGTTAGTGGGAGTTTGAGATTCATAATTTATATTATTATGGTTTTTTCACGAGATGTAAATTTATCAATGACGTCATTTTTATTACATCTCTTTGATACATAAAATGTATGAACCATTTTGGGATCACATATTTATTATGTTTGGTTTTGTTTTATTTATTATCTATTATTTATGAAATCTAAGCATAAGGTAATCATCCCTATCGGATATTATCTTTGTGATTCATGTTTATATTTCTTAATTGATATTTGTGTTTGTTTTGTAATTGATATGATTAATTTATTTATCAATGTTATCCAAGTGGGAGAATGTTGTATTTATATAATTTATTATATATATATATATATATATATAAATTATTATTCTCTATTTGTTATGGATTAACATTAATCAATAAATTAATTTATTTGTAATTATCAATTATATTACACATCATCATTTATGTAAATAATAATTTAATTTGGGTTTCTGATGAACGATTCAGTGATGGGTTGGATCGTTCGGAATCGATTACTTATTGAGAGATCCTGGTCTCTGCGATAGGTGGATAAAAGCTGATACCCCATTAGTTAGTTTAACGTGTGACAATATAATCACTTTAGATACTACGTTCAAAGCACCCTATCAGAAAGAGAGCAACATTCTCTCATAAGCATTCAATGGATTCTTCAACAATTCCAGGTACACAATTTTGAATATATTATATTTATTGTATCTAATATTATTATGTATTTTAAACATATACTTCCTGCAAAAATTTTGCATTCTTATTCCTTACTATCAGTACAAAACGCATATTTTAATCATCTGCGGGAAAAACGTTTGATGCGGAATTAACTGTTCCTTTTGGCTATTTTTACCGAAATGGCTACTTTTTTTTCTGGGGTTACTCTCAAGCCACTTTCATAGCAGCTGATTGTTCTTGCTGATAAACGTAATTATTTCAAATAGAGGATAACAAATATATACAATAACTCACCTGAATTCTTGAGCTCATGTTTTTCACCGATACGACCTTTGCCAGATTAGTCAAGGGTCCATTAGTCAATACTGTAATTTTAGACCCTGGTTTAATTGTTTGTAATATAGACTCCCAAACTTCCATGGCCTGTGGTTGTCTGAGTTCAGGGTGATCCGTATCCCGAGGAGCCCCAAACTTCACAGAGTTCTCTGCTGTATACCTGAAATGGTTCGTGTCTTAGTCAGTTGCTGGTAACAAACATTGGAAATATTTAAGTGCGAGCAAACCAGTGTATAATCTTGTGACAAGGTACATAAGTAACAGAATACTTGGAACACTTTACAAAGTATACGCAACAATTATCAATGGTAAAGTTAAACGAGTGAGTTCTCTCAAATTGAATGAAATATTGTAATAATACTACTACTCAAGAGAAATAATTCTTTCACATTTTTTTCTTTGCGATATTCTTTATGTCACTTTCATCATATTTTGTGTACCGATTACATAGTTCGTTTATGCATGACATATATTCATTCCATTATTTCTCTACTTTCAATAGGAGCTTCCATTCCACATGGCCTACACGATTTCAGTGAGTTTTGATGCATTCTAATGCTGACGAGCAATACATACAAAACTATAAAAGTAGATGCAAAACACCTTCGTGGGCTGCGTGGTAGATCACGGGCAAGACCATAAAGAGTGTCAGAGTCCAGTAACCCCCCATTTCCATGGGGAATGGCTTTTACATACTTGCATTCTCCAACAGCTGGGAATATTGGATCTGACTGATTCATTGCAAAAACATCTCCTAGACCAACTGGGATGTCGTCACGACCCATCATGTGCAGTAAGTCATAGATGGAATCTATTGTTGCTGAATTAGTCCATCCAGTTGGGCTCACAATGATTGCCTGAAGCGAAGGTTCAAGTAACCCAAATTAAAGTTGCTCTCTGTGTGTGCAATTGCGTATATATTTCAACATAATAGAACTTGGATTGTTTAGTGAAAGGTAGCAAGTCAAGTACCCAAATTAAAAATACAATTTTCCCGTTTTAGCTAAAAGCATAATAAGTTTTTCATTTGAGGACCTTTCCTGCCTTGGTGTCAATATTGGCATTACAGTGGAACTACAAGTAAATAAAAGAAATATTAAAAGATGAAAAAAAAGAATGAATACCTTAAGGTCGATTACTTGAACAGGCACTTTTAGGAGGTAAAATAGAGCTAGAAAATCGCCTGCGCTCATATCCATGTCAAACACAACAGGTTTCCCCAGTGCTTTATTTTGAAAATCTGGCTTGTAAGTTACTTCTTTGTAGTAAGGAAACTGTGTGGTGAAGTTGAACCTCCCGGAATTTTGTGGTTGGTTCAGAACCTTTTACCAGATTCAAGACAAAATGTCAGATTCATATACATTTATCTTTTTAAGAATCCATTCATATAGTTGGGGAACAAATAGTTAGTATTTAGTTTTCCTCACATGCCATAATAAAACAGTGCGATTCATAAATCTTGAAAGAAGTTTGAACGATGTACTGAAATCTAAACATACATACATTCAAGAAGCTTATAAAATATTCTCTGTCAAGTGTGCTCGTAACATTCTTGTTAGGCTTGGCTTTTGTAGCAACAAGTACCCTCACTGAGTCTGGACCACTTGCTTCTTCTGTGTAACCATCCTATATATAGAACATGTTGCAGTACATAACACGTTAACATTTACTATATGTACGTGTGAAAGTGTACGTAACACATTAAAGTTGCAATCTAAAACGGAAAGTAACAATTACCTGACATCTCCCTTTCCCATTTTTCACAAAGCAATGTGGATCTCGAAGTCCTTGGTGAATATGGCCACTGTGCACCCCACCTTTTTCTAGATTGAACTTAGGAACTCTTCGACCATCAAAGAGCGGGTTAGAGCCATCAGATACTCCATAAGGTTTGTTTGAAGTGATTACAGTTATGTTCATATACTCCATTTCAGCAAATTCATTTTCACCATTATTGTTATTGGGTTTACTCATGGTTGAGACGGCTATACCAGCTGCGAAAGAGTCCCACATAAAATAACTCTGCTTGCAATGAGTTCGTATTAGTATGAATATTAGTTACTTTGTAATTCACCAAACAAAGTGAATGTTAAATTGTTAACAGCAGAAAACAATAGACATGCATGGATTCATTAAGAAAATATTACCGAATAAAATTCGTTGTCAAACCATGTATCACGAGCCAGTTTCAAGGATTTGAAACAGTACTGTGCTTCATATGTGTCTTGGCTCTTTTCAAATTCCTCAAAGAATTCTTCGGTGATGGGGATTGTGTTTGTTGCATCCAGAGGAACAAGAGTGACAGGAATTCCAGAATGAATCACCTACATATCGAGATATTATTTGGTCAGAACATATTTTTTGTGTATTTGGTCATGAGCATATCCAGAAATAAACGCTTTATGCTCCCCCAGTAAAACATACTACTTCTAACTTCATTACAAAAAACGCTCAAAGAATTTTCTGAGTTTTTATTTTTGAAGACGTTATAAATTTTTAAAACATGTTCTAAATTATGAAAAAAAAAATCCTAAAAAATACACTAATGAACGGGTCTATTCGAAAAATCATTTTATCCAAAAAGAGTGACAAGTTTATTTTGATGTCATGGGTGAAGTAAACAATATTATATATGAAAAAACTGATGGTATAAAACTATTTTATACTTCTATTCAACCATAAATTAATACTAAATTTGATTGATTTTATAATAATTAGCTTAAAAGTTCTGTTAATAGTAATTAATTTCTAATGTTGAATGTGTGTATTTGACCTGGTATGCTGCAAAAGGGTCTGCAAAAATATTGAATTCTGCAAAAGGGTTTGTATTATAGTCTGTGAACATGTTGCCACGGTCACCGCACTGACGAGGCACGCAGGAAGATGAAGCATTTTTGGGGCAACAACCAGTAGGGTTGCTTGATCTTACACCCCCACCCATTATGTAAATACGCTCCACATTTTTTTTCAGGTGTGGGTTATTCATTAGGAAGATTCCAATGTTTGTGTGTGCTCCAATCACAAGCAGGGTTATGGGACCACCAGATATTTTTTCAATCAACACTTCCTGTGCACTTGCTTGTTCTAGTGGACTGTATTTTCTAGCTCCCTGGTTTCATCATACAATTATGGACCAAATGAGAATCATCAACACAATTAATCATTAAAATGGTACAATGAAACTTTCATTTGATGCTTCTCAAATTTATACACCTGTGGTAGGAAAAGTTTCCTGATACCATAATTGGCATCGATGTCTAAGCGTCCTCCAGGACCAACAGGAATGGCCCGCCTGTACCTGCAATCTCCTACTGTTGTCATTCCCTGATTCAAGAGAACAGTAATCCTTAAAACACAGGTATAGTAAGTATGTTGTTGTCATTGTCTACACAGGATATGTATTAAGGTTTTGAAAAAGGACAAGACCAACCTGTTCTATTATTGGAAGATAGCCACCAACGTTTGGGAGTATGGTACCATTTGGGAGTATTCCACCCTCACCTCCAACTCCAACTGCAACATCATCTCGACCCATCATGTAAAGCAGATCATAAATTTGATTAACAGCATGCCCAGCACTGGTCCAAGCATTTGCACTGATGGTGATGGCCTGAAAATGTTACCACCAGAATATATTCGTGAATTATCAGTATGATATAATCTTTATTTATTTTACTTCAAGTTTGTAACTTTTATATTTGAGTATATAACTTTTTAAATCATTTTCCAACAAAAAAAATATAAATTTGTGTTTTTCAAGAACTAGGTAAAAAAACTTCCATTGAAAATATATAATATTTTCACCAAAATAACCAAAATGTAATTATAATTTGAGCGATCAACAAAGTGACGTTTGATAAGATAACAGATAATTTTTTTATAATATAGAAAAATAATATCATAGTCTTTTGGAAAAGTTACTTTCTTTTTAATTAATATTTTAATAAAAATTATGAGTATGTATATTTTAATATGAGCTTTATTGTCTCTTTTTATCTTTCTATATTGGAGTGCTTTTCTTTTTTACTCACCTTTATCTATCTATATATTGCATTGCATTTTTTTATTTTTTTTGCTTTACCTCTAATTTGCTTTTAATGTTTCGGTCAAAGAATGTAAAATATATTAGTTTGCTTGAAATTATACACCAAACTTATATTATATTTGTACGGAATGAAAGTGATAGAAAGCAACATGAACTAATTTATTTTACATTAAAAAATGTTTGAATTAATGTCACACTACTAAAATAGTTTCAAAATTTTAGATAAAAATAATAGAAAAAGAAGACGAAATAATCAAAAATAATAATGAGTCATAGAAAACTAAAATGCAAAATTATATCAATATATATTATTTTTAATAAAAAAAAAACAAAAAGAGAGATGTTATCTTTACACAATTGTAAAAATTACTCTTATTAAATAAGGTTTTTATTTCCTATTTTAAAAAGGAGAAAACAAATTTCAAGAATATAAACACGATTGTTTAATTATCAACATATTATTGATATAAGTGACACTAAATTCACACATTTAAATAAGATTTTGAAGTGTTTTTTAAGAAAAATATTTTGGGTTTAAACAATAAAAAAATGTGATTTAAAAATAACCACAATGAAACCAAGTTTTGAAAAGAGATCTGTTAATGGTAAATGCTTCAAGTTAAAATCATGATGTCTTGTTAACTTTCTTCTTTATTAAAGTTTTACTTTAATTAGTTTTAATGTTTCTTTAGCTAATATTTAATTAATATCTTCAATGCACATAAATATTGCTCGACAGCTTTTAACGTACAATCATAAATTAAGTGAAAAGAAATAAAAATAATAATGAAACTGAAACTTAAAATAAATATAATCGATGAAATATATATATATATATATATATATATATATATATATATATATATATATATATATGTGTGTGTGTGTGTGTGTATATGTATAAAAACTCATAATAAAAAACATGAAAAAAAAATTTATCAGTACCATATTAAAAAGTGTATTATTACAAACTCATGCATCTTACTCAATTTAACAAAATATAAGAAAGTGTTCACATTAAATTAACAACATAAATTATTTCTTGATAAATTACTATCAGTGTTAAACTTCTTACAAAATTAAATCCAAAATAATTAAGATATAGTGATATATAGATGAAAATGAATAATCATAAATTAAGTGAAAAGAAATAAAAATAATAATGAAACTGAAACTTAAAATAAATATAATCGATGAAATATATATATATATATATATATATATATATATATATATATATGTGTGTGTGTGTGTATATGTATAAAAACTCATAATAAAAAACATGAAAAAAAAATTTATCAGTACCATATTAAAAAGTGTATTATTACAAACTCATGCATCTTACTCAATTTAACAAAATATAAGAAAGTGTTCACATTAAATTAACAACATAAATTATTTCTTGATAAATTACTATCAGTGTTAAACTTCTTACAAAATTAAATCCAAAATAATTAAGATATAGTGATATATAGATGAAAATGAATATTGAGAAGAGCAAAGATAGGTCAATTTTGAAAAAGAGATGGAAATTGCAAATATGTAATAAAGTAATATTGAATGGGCATTTAAACTCTTTAAATATCCAAAAAATCTGAATCCTATAAAAATTCCACAACTTGCGGGTGTCTAAATTCCTGTTCACGTGGAGACACTCGCCCACATTTGAGACTATATAAAAACAACTGGAAAGACACGCCTCTTTCATTTAATTATTTTTAAAATAAATCATCATTAATTTCTTGCGGAATCAAATAATTTCAGAAGAGTATTACTATTTTTTTTTTGTAGAGATTTTTACTTTATTTAATCGTTGTTTTCCAAATTTAGAAAATATTAAAAAAATTATATTTTATACATTTACTCTTTATATAATCTTAAATATTTTATTAAAGCAACAAAAATTATTGAATTTGATTGGTTTGCTAGGTAACGAATGAATGATGTTGAAAAATACAGAGCTGATGAGCCTGTTTAAGCAATGATTCAGTAAGAACAGGAATATACGAAGGAGAATAATCAGGAAGAACGATTTGATAGAAGTTTTACCTCCAATTTAAACTGTGATGTGTCGAGTTTCATGAGGTAGAGAAGAGCAAAGAAATCATCGGTGTCAACATCTGTATCCACCAGAATCCGATGAGGTTTTCCCTCCACAGACCCTCCTACGATCAACAGCACCAGTAGCACTACTATGCACATTCTCATTCCTTCAAACACTGCTTAATCATCAACAATCACTTTCCTTCCTCTAAAGACAAAGAACCCTCTATTAAGAACAGTAAGCATAGTCACGTGGTATTAATTTATTATAGCGAAAATTATGCAGAGTGGAGAGGACACTTACCAAGACCGTTGAAAGAAGAGAAGGAAGAGAAGAAACACAGGTTGCAGGGAAATGAAACGTGACAAGATGAATGAGTGTCAGAATATGGAAATAAATTTATATTTCTCCTGTTTGTTGGTACTTCAATATTGACCAAACACACCAAACAGTGACCATAGAAAAAATACACTCATTCGTGTGGCATGCTACCTTTAGTCCTTTTTTTATTCAAACATGTTACGTGCACTTTCTTATATAACTGTGAGTTTAGATTGTAGGGTCGATAGAAATAAGAAAGTTTCGTAAACCTAATATGGTTTTAGATAGAAAATCACGTAATATGTATTTTGTCCCTCTTATGATTTTATCGGAAACAAAATAAAATAACATAAAAAAACTCTCGTGTTTTTTCTTTCTACGAAACCTATCATATATAATAGATATTTTTACCGTTATCTTTTACCACATCATTTATATATTATTTTAATTTTAACTCTCTGGCCGAGAAAATATAGTCAAAGGGATATTAAACGAATTTGAAGATTAATTTATTTTGACCTCACAGTATTATTAGATTAATTATTATTTTAAAATATTTTTAATTTCTTTAATCTAGCTTTGACTATTTTCTGATTTTATTTCAGATATTGGGATAATACATAAAAATGTTTATAATTTATTATTCATCTTAATTTTTAAATACTGTCAATTGTTTAAATATATCGAAACATTTTTTTTTAAGAAATTGGAGGGAGGTGATGCGAGAAAATAGGAATTATCAAATTTTTGTTACATAATTTATTTATAGATTTTTCTGAATATATAAATATATATTGTTTTTGTCGTCCATAAATGAATGATGTGTGAAAATGGTATCCGTGAAGCATATTAGGATGTTGGGTCCCACGCATGACAGTTTTGAAATGGATATCACATACAGAAATGTCCCTTTTTAAGACTAAAAGTGAGGATCTTCCAACAATTTTTTTTATTAATATAATATTATATTTTATTATTATATTATTATCAATATAATATTATAATATAGGAGTATTTTTTTAATAATTTATACAAGAAACATGTATATCTAATAATATTAAAAATAAAATTTCTAAATTAATTAATGATTCCAATAGATTGTTACTTTATATTAAATTTTCAACATAAAAATGGATGAATTCTTCAATAATTTGGGATTAAGTAAATTAAATATATATGATTTACTAATATAATATTATAATTTATTATTATATTATTATTTATAGTTGTTTGATTGAATATATGATATGTAAAAGACTTAATTTGTCATTGTTAATATTCACATTGAATAAAGATATAAGTTATTTGATAATATATACAATAAAATAAAAACTAAAGAGTGAAAAATGAGTAAGAAAAACCTTTAAATATGGATAACCAAACATTACTGTCAGAGTCCAGTCTCTTTGATCCTGTTTTGTTAAACTCAACTCTTTTTCTTCCCAAAAACATTTCAAAAACTCTTTCTTCAAAAATAGAAAACTTCGTAGAGTATTCTTATGTTCCAGAAGATATTCAGATCTCTGAGACGTTCAGTCCTCTCCTTAGTCCTTATAATATTTTTAGGAGACAAAAATTTACCCTTAGATCTATCACTCGTCTTCTTTCCAGCAGAAGACCTCATGTCAAGAAATACGTTCAATCCTCCAAGATGGACCAATGTGCCTTAGCATCCACTACAGAAGAACAATATGTCAACATTGAGATCCCTAAATATCTCATTAGGCATTGGCAAACTGAGGGTTACACTCATCTCCATTATGGAGTAATCCGACTTGTCCTCTCTCTCCAAGGAAGACGGAGATTACCTATCTCAGCCATAGTCTCTCTTTTAGACTTCAACTACCTTCATTATGAGCATGTCGTTATCGGTACTGTTCTAACTACTCTTCATGCTAGAAGTGTAGTTCTTACCATCTTTCCCAACTTCAACGTTAGCTTGAAGGATCCCACAATCTCCTAGAGATTGAAAGTTCAGATCCAGATCACTGGAGCCGAACAAATAGTTGATGCACTATCGACTACTCTTCATCATCAAATCATATACAAGTTGCAAGATCATGCGATAAATCTTGTGTTACCATCCTGGAAAGATGGAACACTATTCATCTTGGCCAATAACCAAGATGAGACACCTTCCATAGTTCAAATCCCTAGAAATATCTCTTCACAAGAACTTCACAAGCTTATTCCGATGCAGTGGGTGACTAACTATGAGAAGCTCCACAATAATCAGAAACTCATCCAGTTCACAGAAGCAACATTTGGAAGATCCGTAGATGGCACTATTAGAACCATTTTCAAGAATCCAGAAGATACTCCAAGTTCTAGCACCTCCATATTTCAATCAATGATGATAACGCTTGCCACCAAAAAAGACAAAATCCCTATCGCCAGCGTATGCCCTGATGGCAAACTTATCTTTACTGACAAGATAAGAGGACACTTCATCTGGGATGCTGACCCAGAAATGTGAGATTCTTACTATGATTGTTGTAACCACTATGGAGACACTAGTGATGAGGATGATAATGACTCAAATAGTGATGGGGATGATGACTTTAAAGGAGGATCTTGCAAACCTCAATTCTCTCCCTCCAGGAGATCTAAACCTGGAAAAGGCCCGTGGATAGGAATTCACCGCTAATACGAGTCAGATCCCTTGTGGAAATATAGGCGATATGCTGAGATCCTTAAAGAGGAAGGTCTCTTCTCCAAACAAGAAAGGGGCAAAACCTCTGTCATGTCACCTCAGTCTGCTCCTGTAGCTCCTCCCATTCCATGCATGATCAACCTTTCAGCCTACAAGGAAGGATTTCCTCCATTAGAAAGGAACGTTGATCCTGTGTCCAAGACAACAACCAAACCACATGTTGTTTATCAGGAAATTGGACCAGATGGGAAGACCAAATCATTAAGCCAAGCCAAAGAAGTCCTAAATTGGCAGACAGAGAATGCTCGAGCCCAGAATTATATCTTGCAGAAAATTGATAAGAAGATAGACAAGATCTCCACACATTTAGAGGAGACTGACGACAAGCTTCAGCACCTTAATTCTACTTTGAGGAAACACTACAAGCAACTTTCCACATAAATCTCAAAGTTAGAGGAAGACTGGAAAACCACCATCTTCGGAGAATTATCTCATGTCAAAGAAAGGGAAATCAAAAAGCCCAAAGCCCAGATTCAAGAGATGGATAACTACATCGAAGAAAAGATTAGGCAGCAAAACCCAAAGAAAGATCACTATACATCTTTGTAGACCCCAAATCTTGCCCGGCCTCCAAATAAAGACCAAAAGACCTCCTATTTAAAGATGGACAAAGCCTAACAAGCCATTAGGAGAGACTATTAGGCCCCATACTAGGATAGGAGGGAGTTTCTGTACAAAAAAATAAGTTTTCTCGCTTTGTTGGGACGAGACCGCCCTCTGGAATTCCCAGACCGCCGTCTTGCCTCATGCAAGTGACGAGACCGCCGTCTCGCTTGACGAGACGGCGGTCTCGCCACCTACGAAGGACGAGACGGCGGTCTCGTTCCTCCAGACGGCGATTTCGCCGTGTTGACAGGTCGAGACGGCGGTCTCGTTGGACGAGACGGCGGTCTCGACCCTGTCAGACGAGACCGACGGTCTCGCCACCTGACAGTGCGAAAACCTATAAATAGGGGTTCTCCCCCCCTCATTTCCACACACCACAAGCTTCTAGCTCTGCCTTCTCTCTAAAACTTCTCTCTAGAATCTCTCCGACGCATTTCCGGAGTTTCTGAGTGTCTTTGAGAGCGTTTTTCGGCGTCCAGAAGAGTTTCCGGCATCTTGTAGAGTGAAGGGCTGCCAAAAAGCACCCATTTCCTTTAAAGAAATAAAAAAAGAAAGCTTGCTTCGGAGGTTTAAACTCTTCCTCTCCCCTTTTATCGCTTTAAATCTACATTATGCAATAGATTAGGGCCATGTAGTCATCACTCTAAATTCCGCACAATAAAAAGGGCAAAAGAGTATTTTCTAGTTTATTTATTAATAAAATAGCCGGCCTATCATAGGGAACCCGAAAGGGGCGTAGTAAAGGAACTAATACTTCCTTTACCACGTAACTAACTCCCTTACCCAACTCTGGTTCTAATGACCAAAGTTGGTTTTTCGAAAACCAACGCCTTTTAAAAAAAACATTTTCCGATGTTTCCGGTAAAAACATCGGTGGCGACTCCACAGAACCCAAAATAAATAAGTCCTTGAGTTAGCCCGGTTATCGGACAACCCAAGGACACTTTTCGAAAACCTCGCCCCTAGGTTAGCCCGGTTATCGGACAGCCTAAAGGCGTTGTAATCACCTATAAAAAACGCGAAAAACAAGAGGGTCGAAAAAACCATCGCATCGCTCCGACCGCCTCTTTTTAAGACGGCGGCGACAGATGGCGACTCCACTGGGGAAGCCTCGAGAGTTGATCCCATTTAGAGATGGGCCGGCTTAAATAATAAATAAACTAGAAAATACTCTTTTGCCCTTAACTTGTATTTATAACATGTTTTAATGTTTGGCTTTAATAAATTGTTGTTTGTTTATACTTGCGCAAATTGCTTGAAATATAAACTGCACACAATCCCTTGCACACAACAGTTCCCCCTATACCCGGGGGCAAGTGAGATAACCATAGGGAGTGGGTGGCAGGTACGGTTCGCTATAGTGAGGGCCTTGAGCCCACCGGTGTGATCGGAAACCATCACTCAAGGTGATAACCTTCCTCTTTTGGCAATAAGACTGACTATGGCCTTAGTGCTAAGCATGGTCGGACGGTTGGAGAGTGGGGACCCTATAATGGGGGCACCTTGGGGGCCTTAGCCTGGTGA